CTTTATGGAATGAAATAAAATGAAAAGCAAATTAATGATAAAAATCTAAAATAATGCCACAGGGAAGGAGGGGGGAGGGGGCTTGAATTGTAACCTTACCCCCAGGGGTAATGATTTGAAAAAAGTTGAATCTAGTTGAACCTGGGAATGATTCCACAAGAGTTTCATCTTTCCTGTCTCAATGGTTCTTGAGTAAAAGATTTTTCCTATATATTCCTATGTAAAACTTTGATCGGCCATTTTGGCCCCACCCTACCCCCGGGGGTCATGATTTGAACAAATTTGAATCTACACTACCTGAGGATGATTCCACTTGAGTTTCATCTTTTCTGGACCAGTGGTTCTTGAGAAGAAGATTTTTAAAGATTTTTCCTATATATTCCTATGTAAAACTTTGATCGGCCATTTTGGCCCCACCCTACCCCCGGGGGTCATGATTTGAACAAATTTGAATCTACACTACCTGAGGATGATTCCACTTGAGTTTCATCTTTTCTGGACCAGTGGTTCTTGAGAAGAAGATTTTTAAAGATTTTTCCTATATATTCCTATGTAAAACTTTGATCGGCCATTTTGGCCCCACCCTACCCCTAGGGGTCATGATTTGAAGAAACTTGAATCTACACTACCTGAGGATAATTCCACATGAGTTTCATCTTTCCTGGCCCAGTGATTCTTGAGAAGAAGATTTTTAAGGATTTTTCCTACATATTCCTATGTAAAACTTTGATCGGCCATTTTGGCCCCACCCTATCCCCAGGGTTCATGATTTGAACAAACTTGAATCTACACTACCTGAGGATAATTCCACATGAGTTTCATCTTTCCTGGCCCAGTGGTTCTTGAAAAGAAGATTTTTTAAAAATGCCATTAATTTTTCTCTAATTCATATTATCTCCCCTTGGAAAAGGGCGTGGCCCTTCATTTGAACAAACTTGAATCCCCTTTACTTAAGGATACTTAGTGCCAAGTTTGGTTGAAATTGGCCCAGTGGTTCTTGAGAAGAAGTCAAAAATGTGAAAAGTTAACGACGTCGACGACAACGACGACGACAGACAACGGACAAATTTCGATCAGAAAAGCTGACTTGAAGGCTCAGGTGAGCTCAAAAAAAGCCATAAATGCCATAAAGATTTTTCAAATTCTTAGAAGCAAATGATAATGATCTAGTACATTACAGTCTAACTTTTGAGCAAATATGATACTTTTATGCAAAAATGGTTATTTCAGAATCATACCTACATGTATGAATCTCTTGAAATTTAATTCAGTAATCTGCATTAGAATGTAGAGCAAAAATACATAATTTGATAATGAATGGGTGCATGATGCCCCAGAAAGAACATTTGATTGACATACAAAGATGTAAGAGGAGCTTTAGCACATAAAATTTAAATACTTCTGAATTCTGGCTGTATTTAGAATGCTGCATCATTATGTACCAAGGGGTGAAGGGGTACACAGCCATGATCTGTATGATTGGGTTCAAGATGCAATAAATCTTCACAATATATCTTGTCAGTCTCATCCCTCTAAAATATTCATTATTCATGGATATCTATAAAGTCTACTTTAAAAGAGGGGCATTACATAACATGGACATGAGATGTCCTATATAGATATTGGCATGCTTGATATTTCAAACTTAAACCCTGGCAATACTCCTAAATGTCAAAAATCCAACAAATTCTGTAACCTGATTCCCTATTAACCCACTGACATAGAGAAGTGGGCAGCTGAACTCAATCTTTTTCGAATTCAGACTGTAACATTTTAGCAATACTTGTAACCACACAGCCTCAATGAAAGTGTCAAATATATTCCATCTTATCTTTTTTATTTGACTTTCAGAATGTCTTTTCACCAAAGCTGAAGATGTCCTTTTATTGCACATGATAGAATACCTGCATCTGATATGCCTTTAATTGTTTAACAGATAGTTTAGGGTGACATCTAGACATTAAGCATACAAAATGAGATACCTGATCAACAGGAGGCTGGAAAGTTCACTTTCTGACAATAGAGTATATCAGACGTAGAAAAAAGTTTTGCATTGTAGGATACCAGTATTAATTCTTGCTTAAAGTAATAATTCTGTGTTCTAAGCATTTCAATGTATACAACTGCATAATTTGTAATTTAAATTCATTAGGGGTATAATTCCAATACAAGAGTAGAAATTCTAGCACATCCTTATGTTGAATCTATTGTAACACTTAAATAAACCATGTTTAAAGTTTCCTATCATGATTTTAATGTCTCTTTCTTTAACAGAAAGCATGTTCTGTTTAAAAGTTGCTATTTAAAAGGATCTAAATTCTGAATTTTAGAATAGCGAGTCTTCCAGAATGCTTGTTGCATCATTCAAGAGGTCATTTAATAATGCATGTAGTAAATATACCTTTTTTCTAACTTTCAAACATTCATTTCAATGTATACTCGTAAATGCTTATATAAAGAAGCTAGACAACATGTAAACATAAACTATCTTCACTTTCTGGTATCTAATTTTTGAAAATTTGGAAGAGGCACCCTTAATCTTCATAACTTTGCATTTACTTTGTTTGCTTAATACCCAGGAGCATAGGAGAAGGTTTCCAAAGAATTAATACTTGTTAACTATATAATTAAAAGAGCCCCACCCTAACACCAGAGAGAACTCCTTACAACTAGTCTTACTTGGGAAAAAAACACAAGAGGCCAATGGGCCACAATGTTCATCGGAGTCACTTTGGCCCTTCTGTTTTTCACAAAATTTTCCCTCTGTAGAACTTTGAGATCTTTCTTGTATATTTCAATGTAAAACTTTGATTCCTCATTGTTGTGCCCCCCCCCCCCCCCCCAATATAAACAATTTAAAATCTGCACTGCATCAGAAACTTCCATGCATAAGTTTCGCCTTTTCTGACCCAGTGGTTTTTGACAAGATTTTTTAATGACCCACACATTTTTGTCTTTCTTGATTATCTCCCCTTGGAAAGGGCTTGGCCCTTCATTTTAACATTTTTAAGCTCTTCTTTACCGAAAGATGTTTTTTATTAACTTTGATTAAAATTGGCTCAGACAAATGGATGTACTGATGGCCAATGGTTGTTCAGAAAATCTCACTTGAGCTTTCATCTTATTATATTGGTACTAGATCTGCAACATGACTGACTGATTCAGATGATAATTTAAATCAAATGACCATACTGCATTCACAATATCCACGTATGTCACACTTAAAACTCCAAGACAAATGAATATTTGTTGTCCTATGCATTATGCATGTACTTAAATTTGTAGTTTTAATTTCACCAGTTCAGGTTTCAAGAATTTTTATCTACTTGCACGAAGAAATGATACTGCACATTTGTTTAACAAAATATAGACCTAATCGTTCTTGAAGAAATCTATATATATACTTTATATTAATGGAAATGAAATCTACAAAATACAGATTGATATGCTTTTAATGTACGAGGGTTGTCCCGTAAAATCGTGGACAAAGCGTTTTTCTCAAAAAGTAATGAGCGCACTAAGCTGAAAATTTCAGTAAATGTTTATTTATCATATTTAAGTGCATGTTAATTTTTTTGATAAAATATAGGCAAAAATAAAGATTTTATTATGCTTGAATGTGCACCGGGTATTGTCCTACGGCGCACGGACAAAAAACCAAGGTTTTATTAAGGAATACACAAGCTTGAATTTAAAGTAAAAGTTTTAAATACATAAGATTTGGATTACAATTATCCTAATTCAATTCCACAATCAATTTTGTAGTCCTTGTAAAAATTTTAAGGCATTTGGTTAATTTTTGGCAGTTTCTCGAGCATTCGAAATGGGAAAGTGGTAAAGACAACACACAAAAAATGGCGACGTTTTATGACGTTACGGCGCATCGGAGAGCAGTTCCGTTTTAATTCGATGTTGTAATGACACCTTTAGAGGCTTGAAATGACAGTAGAAGAAAAAAGATTATAAAAATATCACCATATCTTAAGTATACAAATGAATTAGGACTTTTCTTTGCGAAGTCTTTTTTGATCGAGTCCCTGGGGTGTACAAAACATACAGACACACTCCTAATGTAATAGCAAAAGACGCTGTCACAGTAGACGGCCGATATGAGATTTTCTATTAGTTAAATGATGGTGAGAGTATTGTCCGTAACTTACTGATAAATCTTCAGAAGATCGCATAAGGGTGCCAATTACTTCTTCGACTATTTATGGAGACTAAAAAATGTGCATCAATGAAATTCCTAAATTTAAGTCGGACTCATCCAACTTCATTTTCAGCAAAGATAAAACGTGACGCTGTTTTAGACTCTTCGACGTTATATAATTCATGCGCCGTAAGGTGATACAATACATGGCATAAAATCACATAATTTGTTTATTTATGCATATTTCTATCTGAAATTTGCTGTGTATTTTAATGAAATATGTACTAAATAATAGTGAAAATTTCAGAACGCAGTGAAGTTTATTTTTTACACTAGACAACTTGTCCACGATTTTACGGGACAACCCTCGTATTGGGTGAAATGTTTATATTCAGCACTATTTGTACCATTGACAAGGAAATTAATGGTCCTGTTTGTTGTAGATCAGTTTTTTCTACACGTCACATTGCCACATTTTGCATGTTTCAAGTATTTTGACAAGATACTCTAAATTGCTCTAAATACATTATTCACAAAACACTTTCAATTATAAACTTCAGTATGTATATGTTTTGGTGGCCTACATCTGTCGACCATGAAAATAGGTTATGTTATATTATAAATACTGCTTGATTGTAAATAACAGATGAAACAGTTGGAGCCCCACCCCCCACCCCCCCCCCATTTCCCCCCCCCCCCAGTAAATTGTGTTTATTTCAATGCTACAAACAGCAATTCTAATCAAGACAATAATTTTATTTTGGCCTAAATTCAATTTTAATGTGTTCATAGGAAACCTCCCAAGATTATTCCAATGTTACATGTCCCCTACACTGACCAATACACCTACCACAAATCCTGACTGTTTTGTCCTTACACCATTCTTCTTCATGACACACTTCATTCTGAGGTAGAATACTCGGTTATCATCAAGATGTGGGACATGTTTCTCTGAAAGTATATCAAGCTTATATAGGATCATATCTTACATAGGATCATATTTAACTTGTTCAATTCTTATTTTACAATTATGCTAAGAGAGACAACTCTTTGGGCTGTTTAAATATTATTATTAGCTCACCTGAGCCGAAGGCTCAAGTGAGCTTTTCTGATCAGAATTTGTCCGTTGTCTGTCATCGTCGTCGTTATTGTCGTCGTCGTTGTCGTTAACTTTTCACATTTTCATCATCTTCTCAAGAACCACTGGGCCAATTTCAACCAAACTTGGCACAAAGTATCCTTGGGTGAAGGGGATTCAAGTTTGTTCAAACGAAGGGCCACGCCCTTTTCCAAGGGGAGATAATCATGATTTAGAGAAAAATTATTGGCATTTTTAAAAAATCTTCTCCTCAAGAACCACTGGGCCAGGAAAGATGAAACTCATGTGGAATCATCCTCAGGTAGAGTAGATTCAAGTTTGTTCAAGTCATGACCCCCGGGGGTAGGGCGGGGCCAAAATGGCCGATCAAAGTTTTACATAGGATATATAGGAAAAATCTTTAAAAATCTTCTTCTCAAGAACCACTGGGCCAGGAAAGATGAAACTCATGTGGAATCATCCTCAGGTAGTGTAGATTCAAGTTTGTTCAAGTCATGACCCCCGGGGGTAGGGCGGGGCCAAAATGGCCGATCAAAGTTTTACATAGGAATATATAGGAAAAATCTTTAAAAATTTTCTTCTCAAGAACCACTGGGCCAGGAAAAATGAAACTCACGTGGAATCATCCTCAGGTAGTGTAGATTCAAGTTTGTTCAAGTCATGACCCCCGGGGGTAGGGCGGGGCCAAAATGGTCGATCAAAGTTTTACATAGGAATATATAGGAAAAATCTTTAAAAATCTTCTTCTCAAGAACCACTATATACAGGAAAGATGAAACTCATGTGGAATCATCCTCAGGTAGTGTAGATTCAATTTTGTTCAAGTCATGACCCCCGGGGGTAGGGCGGGGCCAAAATGGCCGATCAAAGTTTTACATAGGAATATATAGGAAAAATCTTTAAAAATCTTCTTCTCAAGAACCACTGGGCCAGGAAAAATGAAACTCATGTGGTATCATCCTCAGGTAGTGTAGATTCAAGTTTGTTCAAGTCATGACCCCCGGCGGGTAGGGCGGGGCCAAATTGGCCGATCAAAGTTTTACCTAGGAATATATAGGAAAAATCTTTTAAAATCTTCTTCTCAAGAACCATTGAAACAGGAAAGATGAAACTCATGTGAAATTATCCTCAGGTAGTGTAGATTCAAGTTTGTTCAAGTCATGACCCCCGGGGGTAGGGCGGGGCCAAAATGGCCGATCAAAGTTTTACATTGGAATATATAGGAAAAATCTTAAAAAATCTTCTTCTCAAGAACCATTGAAACAGGAAAGATGAAACTCATGTGAAATTATCCTCAGGTAGTGTAGATTCAAGTTTGTTCAAGTCATGACCCCGGGGTAAGGGTGTGGCCAAAATGGCCGACCAAAGTTTTACATAGAAATATATAGGGAAACCTTTTTAAATCTTCTTTTCAAGTACTTCAAAGCCAGGATTAGTAATATTTGTATGGAATAATCCTCAGGTAATGTAGATTCTAGTTTGTTAAAATTATGATCCCCTTGGGGGTTTCTCAACCCCCCCCCAACTTAAATTAACTTTCAGTTCTGATCTGATATGTGTTTTTTCCTAGCTGATGTGCTCAGGTGAGCGCTGTGGCCCCAGGGCCTCTTGTTCAATATCACTTAGCTCAATTTGCAGCAAAACAAATAAGAGAAGAGGAGAAATTAAAAGATATTCATAACTTGTATTATGGGGGTGCATGTAAACTGTGTTTTCCCTTTTCTACATGTTATGGCTAATGTACACTATATGTTCTCAATTCTAAATGTGATGAGGCATATAAACTGTACAGTTCTCTTTCTCTATGTGGTGGAGCATGTAAACTTTATCTTCTCCTTTTGATATCTTTTCTCTATGTTGTAAATCTGATATCCTTTCTATATGTGGTGGTGAATGTAAACTATATGTTCCCTTTTCTACATGTAGTAGGGCATGGCATATTCACTACCAATTCTACATGTGATGAGGCATATAAATTGTATGTTCCCCTTTCTCTATGTGATGGGGCATATAAACTATGTGTTCCCCTTTCTGAATGTAGAGGGATATATCTACTGAATGTTCTCCTTTCTCCTTGTGATGGGGCATATGAAGCCTTACCACTATTCTCCTGGTTGATCTGGCAAGAACAATGCATTTCACAGGGTTTGAGGTTGAACTGTTTCTTTAACTCTGGGATGTCACTGGGGTGGATCAAGTTAGTCACCTTCTTACCAAGAAGGAAAGCCTGAAAAACAATTTAACATTTGTCAATAGAATTCCTTGTTTGATTAAAGTTTCAATTAGAGAGAATTTATATGTTTGGATTTTCTGATTATCACAGATCTTACGGTGTCAGCAAAATTTTTACTGTGTCGCACGCATAAAATTTGAATCATTGCTGTGTCAGAGAAAATTTTACTGTGTCAGGACCAACACAGTAAAACAGCTCATGGAGAACCCTGATTAAGTAATATGTTACCTTGCAGTTCAAATGTTTTTGGTAAATTGAATTTCAAATATAAATACTAAAAAAATATTGCAAGTTAATTTTTTAAAATTTAGTTTTTAAACATAGGTAATAAGAGATTACAGAGCTCACCTCAACAAATGTTGTCCTTAAATAAGGCAAATTCCCACATTAAACTAATAATCTAGTAGTGTACATCCTAAGATGCAACATTTCTGCAATTTTGATCTGATAGAGCTCGCAGTTACTTGGGAATACACTTATCCAAAACTTCAAACTTTTCTCTCATCCAGAAAATGTAATTCAAATTCAAATCCAGCATCTGAAGCAAGTTTGAGAGTGTTCATCCCTTGTTGCATAATCCATGCAAATTAGGATCAGATAGGCCTTATGGTTTCTTAGTAATAGACATTACCCAAAACTTTAACCTGGTCCATTATTTGGAAAATGTAGGTCAGATCCAGCATCCAAAGCAAGCCTGGTAGGATGCATCTTCCATGTATCATCCATGCAAGTTTGATCAACATAGGTCTTACATTTACTTAGAAATGGGACCAGCATCAAAAACTTTAACCCGTTCACTCATCAGAAAGAGTAGGTCAGATAAAGCATCCGAAGCAAGCCTGGTAGTATGCATCCTTAAATGTATCGTCTTTGCAAGTTTGGTCATCATAGTACTCATAGATATTTAGAAATGAGACCTGCACCACAACCATTAACCTGTTCGCTACATCCAGAAAATGTAGGTCAGATTCAGCATCCAAAGACAGTCTGGTTGTATGCATCCTTAGATGTATCGTCCATGCAAGTTCGGTCAACATCAGCTTATAGTTACTTGGAAATAAAACCTACACCCAAAATATTAACCTGCTCCCGAACCATTAACCTGGTCACTCCTTTGCTGAAATTGCAGCATCTGAAGCCTTATCTGGTGCAATGAAACACATTAGAAGCATGCATGTCTGATCAATACAAGGCAAAAAAGTAAAACTGCTCCAAAAACCATAACCTGGGACACCCAAGCCGAGGGTATCACATAAGCTCCCCAAAGTTCATCGAGGTGAACTAAAAAATCTTTGTTGTATGTAGCACGCCACCTTACCTGATCAATCCCTAAATGAGCAGCCACTCCATCGGACACATAAAGAATCTTTTTCTTACGATCTAGTAACAACAGGAATCCATTCATGGCTTCCAGCATCAGCTGACTCTCTTCCACCTTAAACTGTTCCACACCTGACAATAACATTATCCACATTTCATCCACATCTTATCCACATCTCATCAAAATCAAGCAGGAATAATTGAAAGTTTTCCACCTTATTAAATCTTACAATTTTTTTCCACTTTATGTCTTACAATTTTTTGTGATGAAGTCAAATAATTTTTTTTTTTTGGCTAACAATATGCCATTCGATAGATAACAATTAAAGTCAATAAAAAATAATCAAATTAATATAATCTTGTCGTTACATTGATATTGACAGTATTATTGCTTCTATTCTATGAACAAGATCATACATGGTGGGCACAGATGGGCCCTGTGAATTCAGACAAGTTTGATAGGTAAAAATTTATCAGATTTTTTGACATCAAAACACAACTCTGAATAATAAATTGATGAGCAGATGATGAGCACAACAAACCATTCAGAACAATGTGGTGGGTCCCATTCTTCTTCACTACTGGCACTGGGGACTTCTCCTTGTCCTCTGGCTCTGAATCCTTCAGGGACAAAGTAGCCATTTCTACAATGTCATCCAAATTAATATATATACATGTATATATATATATATATATATATATATATATATATATATATATATATATATATATACATGTATATATATCCATGTAAAAAATACTGTATTTAGCAATGCTTTACTGTTTCTGGAATATCTAACAAAATATAGCCTGGTATTCTTAGTATTTTGATTTGCATATAAATGAGACATAATATAGTTGACTAAGACTGTTAGATAAAATAAACATATAATTCTATATATGTTTGATTTTATAAACTCCATGACAATTTATTAAACTCTTACCCTTATTAGTACTACTACTTTATAACAAATTAACAAAATGTGCTTTGTACATATTTAATTTGGCCTGAGTTTGCCTTTAAGGGGCCTGGCTTGCTTTACTTGATACTTTCTTTATATGATTGGTGTCCCCAACAGACTGCCAGAGGTGCCGGGCTTCTTCAATGTTTTTATCATTGAAAAATTACTTCTGACAAAATGAAATACTGCTTATGGGGAAACACACTTTACATCTGATAAAAAGTCACAATCTCTCAAAACAAGGATTTATTATACAAAATTACAAATAGCCCACAAAAACAGTTCTCGGTATAAACATACCGATAACAATTTTCCTTTGAAGTCAATATGCTTAGTCCTAGGACTGATCTATAAACAATATTAGACACTGATTTTTGAATCTTCAGCCCAAAGATTAATGAGATTTTTGCTGTCTGATTACTTGGTATCTTGTAACAGAAAATTGTGTTCATAATATCATCAAGTCTTATGAATAAGTCAAGCATTTAACACCTAAGAACTCTGAGTATCTGTGTAGTAAGAATAAGAAATTAATGTTCAATGTTCTCCACAGTGGAACAAATACATGATCTTCTTTAACAAAGCAGAGCTTTCCATCACAAATTCTAATTAACAGTATCATTAATCAGCCACACAGGTTACAAAGAACTTTTACAACACAGACACATGGGGATGTTTGGATATGGCAGTAATGGAATACCAACACTGGCATATCATTGAATGGCCGCCAAAACAATATGCCATTCTTGATAAGTTCCCATACACCCCAAGCTAAATAAGTTGATCGATCTTATGTGGAACACATAGAACCATAAACAGTTCCATAGAGATATCACTCCCTTTTCTGATAAAAATGATCCATTCTTCAGTAGTCTAATATCACATGTAAAGTGATGACAATTACTTGAAACAGAAGATGACCTAGACTTCAGATCTGCATGAGGATCAATAAGTCCAATACTATTGTACTACCAATGATTTAGTATAGCAAAATATGGGTAAATTAACCAAGAGCAAAAATAAATCATGTATACAGTGTATCATTTTGTGAGTACTCTGCAACAATATCATATGTCCTGTTCAGCATCATATGAAAGTTGATAAATTAGGTGAAGTTAAGGTTTTTTTTAACACTGCAGAAAAGCCCAGCAAAATCTTACAAAACACAAATATATTATAATACTATGGTACTGGTGTCTGTTTTTTTCAGGAAGTGTTCCGTAAAGCAGAACAATGACTTGACCTTGTGCAAAAATGTGGATCATTTATTGTATCTGACATGTGTTACTAGTCAATTATTACTACAGTGTCATCAGCTAGACATCAAGGTGAACATCCCAGACAGCTCTCTGTGAACTAGGAAACTCAGAACTCAAACCCGTTGCTGCTCTCCAAGAACTAGGCAATACTGGACTTAAACTTACTGATCTCCAAGAACTTTGGGATGCTGACTTAAAACCTGCTGCTCTCCAAGAACTAGTTATTAAACGTGTCACTTGGTAAGAAAAAAGCACTGTTGAACTTAAAACCTACTGCTATCCAAAACACAAGGCAATGCTGAACTTAAATTGACTGATCTCCAAGAACTGGGCAATACTGAACTTAAAACCTGCTGCTCTCCAAAAACTAAGCAATGCTGAACTTAAAACTACTGCACTCAAAGAACTAGGGAATGTTTAATAAAACCTACTGCTCAAAGACAAGACAAGGAAAACTAACAATACTTAATATAAACTTGCTGCTCCCAAAGAACAATGCAATGATGAATTCAAATGACTTCCTTGATATGTACTTCACAGGTACTTGAATGACACTTCAACTCTCAGAAACTTGGGCAAATTGTAGATTCTAAACATCATCAGAATACTTGGACTGAATGTTTAATAAATCCAGTTAATCTGCGGATCCAGGATTTTGCATTGGACAGGACACTATTATATGGCAAGGGGGTCTGGGAACCAAAGGCCCTGTTGGATCAGGGCTGTATTACTTAGGAGTTTGCAACTGGAGTGAAACCCTTATAAGCTCCTGAGAATCAGCAATTAAGACACTTAATTTGGACAAAAAATGGATGTAACATCATGTTTAACACATATATATATGACAATAGAGATATAACGGGTATATGGTATGCTATCTCATTTCATGCTTAAAGGCATTGGTAAGATGATTTTAGACTGATGTGTACACAACAGTCTAAAATCATCTTACCAATGCCTTTAAGAATGAAAATAGATCAAGAATGACATCATTCATTGTTGATGCTATTTACATAATCAAATTATAAGAATTTAGCCTACAAATAAAAGAACTATACTAAAAACATGCAGTCATCCCACCTCCAGCTGCATTAATTCATGCCTGATACTTTCTTATAAAATAGAATATTTGAAATTTTATAACTTTACATATAATAGAATGTAATGAAATATATTAAATGATGAAATTTCAAGAAACTTGCATTGTTTGATACAGTTTACTCTGTAATTCAGTGATTTATGTGTGCGTTTCCCATTACTTACTGTTGAATTTCAGAGCATAACTGACCAATACTCATCCTTATGACAGATGTATCGCAAATTCTCAAATAAAGATACTGGAATGTTTGGAATTGCACATCTTTGGATGAAATAAAATATCTCCATCTTTCTAGAGTTGACTGCTTTACACAGAAAATTGCCTCATTCATCACTTGAGGCATTATCAAGTATTTAGGATATAATTTGGAAACTCCTTCTAAATGCCAAACATAATTTTTTTTCTTTAGCGATTCCAATGACATGTCAATAAAGATTACCCACAAGATCTATCAAGTTGAATCAATTATGTGTTTTCTCAGTAGTACTGTAAATCACTTTTATTCGCAAGAACTTTATTTTCATGTAATTATCCGTAAGTCTGTCTGCTTATGAAAATTTTATTTTTGCGCAGCTCACAAACATAAAGACCAATATAGCTACCTAGCGAAAATAAGGTGTCAGGCAAATGTAGTGATCCCCTGTATAAGGAGAGAAAAAAAATTAATGCATTTTAAAACACTAACTATCCTGGTAAAATATCTCAATCTCAAATCTCAAAAATGTCCTTATGGGCCAATTTCCTTTTTTTCTCCCATGTTTTCTCATAAATTTAAGGAATTCCTTTCCTCTCAACACGCACATCCAGAAAAGCAATATAGGCATGTTAAAAAACAGAAATTAGTGTCAAATGATAAATTGTTTACTTTTGAAATTAATGTACAAGAACAAGAGAACTGGACAGAAACAACTCAGGATAATAATATCAAATAAGACAAGCAATAAGTTATTCCATCTGAGAACCTTGCTAAACTTAAAGTGACCCTTACTTACAACCAAACCTTACAAAGACAAAGCATGAATCAAAACATGAGAAATTCCAGCACTAATCAACATTTTAATGCATAAGCACATGCTTAATTATATTTTCTTTTTATAAATTATCTTAGACTTCCCCACAGAAAACATGCAACCCCTTGCTGACTCTGGCATTTACATGATTAAGAATAAAAAAGCAATTAATTAACTTTTTCTCTGTATTATTATATCATATAACCCTAAAACATAGTTGATCCCCAAATCTGCTACTTATGTATGGTGACAAAAATTCTAGCCATTCCTTTCCCCATTTTCCTAAGAGCTAGACTTTAATTTTCTCACATTGCAAACAATTCAAGGCAATATAAACATGGTTACATACCTATATTTAATACCTAATCATTTCCTCACATTGCAAACAATTCATGGCAACATATACCTACCCCTGAATTTTTTCCGATGCAAAATTGTAGGAAGGCGAATTTTAAAAATCCTGACATTTCTAAACATGAGAGCAGCACGAGGGGTGCACACAGCCATGTTTGTTGTACTTAGCTGGGACACCGTGCTATGTCAAGTTTTACTTCCTCACAACTACATAGTGCTGATGAAGGGGGAGGTCTGTGCAGCCAAGTTATAATAAGGTATTGATCCCACCAGCCTCTTTACTACTGTGTACCACAGACAGAACTGCTTTGCCAGCAATACCGACACAGCGACCTATCCTGAGATAAGCTGTTGACGAGATTTATTGTTTTTAGGGGGAGAGAGTAAGCCTGCACCTGAGATAGGTGTGTGTGACAAGCAACAATAGCTTGCTCCATGTGTTGTGCATGTCTGGTCAGATTAGATTAGCCACAATGCAACTTCATCAGAACCTGCAGCTGCAGTTCTTTGCAAAAAGATATTTGGGTTTAGAAGTATGAATAATAACACAAATAAACTGACATGCACCAACTAATTATAAATAGGAAAAAAATGTATTAAATCCATGATGAACTGACAGAATGACAAACAAGTACCGGTATGTGAACTTTGTCATAATACAGTGTATGTATATCATACATGTACATATAAATATAGTGTCTGCTGGTGCAAATAGGAAAGTTAACATTATCTAATAATTCAATTTCTGTATTTCCAACAATATGACAAATACTCAGCAATGCATCGCAGCTCAGAAGGAATGAAAATTCATATTTCTAAACCAATGGAACACAAAAAGTAACATATGTACTTTTCTTTTTTCATCTTTAAAATGTTAAAAACCTCACATGTAATAATGCACTTTTTGATTAAATGTACAAGTGTATGGTGTTTGTTGGCATGACATTTTTTTTGCCCTGC